CAATGATTACAAAACACACACACGGCCCCTCCCCCAGCTTCTGGGAAATGAGAATGAATGCGTTATGCAACGTCCCCGGAATTCACAGCCTAATAGTGTGACTTTTGTCCCGTGGTCACCGGCTGGGGGAGGAGCAATCACGAGACCACCGTGCATAATATGACAGGAGACGTCCCGGACCCTCACATGCAATGCAAACGTGGAATATCTCAGCAGTTGCATTTTCTTTTCCCTTCTACCTCCCGCCCCGGTCTCTGACCTGTACGGTCGCCGCTGTCCTCAGGAGGGTACAGCTACGTCTCAAGGAGAACACCATCGCCGCCATCTTCCCTGGGACACTGTGCGTTCCTCCCGGCTCCCAGCATGCCGCGCGGCTTACTCACCATAGAGACGTGTGAAGCGGGGCGGGCACTGCACGGATGGAGCGTACGGCTTTACTAGCCCCACTTAATCTCTCTGGTTTTGTTAAGTAACCGGCCTTGTTACCAAGGTGACCGGGTCGGAGTCACATGCAATGTTTGCGTGGCGTAAAAGACGCAGAAGGAGGTCTGTATAGAGCCCCGCCCAGGCCGGGCCTCACAGACACAGCCTTAGCCTGAGGAGAAAGACAGTGTAGAGGGGTCACCACGTACAGAGGCCTCGTCTAGAGGGGTCACCACGTACAGAGGCCTCGTCTAGAGGGGTCACCACGTACAGAGGCCCATTCTAGGGGGTCACCACGTACAGAGGCCTCGTCTAGAGGGGTCACCACGTACAGAGGCCTCGTCTAGAGGGGTCACCACGTACAGAGGCCTCGTCTAGAGGGGTCACCACGTACAGAGGCCTCGTCTAGAGGGGTCACCACGTACAGAGGCCTCGTCTAGAGGGGGCACTACGTACAGAGGGGTCACCATGTACAGAGGCCCGTTCTGGAGGGGTCACCATGTACAGAGGCCTCGTCTAGAGGGGTCACCATGTACAGAGGCCCGTTCTGGAGGGGTCACCATGTACAGAGGCCTCGTCTAGAGGGGTCACCATGTACAGAGGCCCGTTCTGGAGGGGTCACCACGTACAGAGGTGCATTTTAGAGGGGTCACCATGTACACAGGCCAGGCCACTTCTAGAGAGGGGTCACCATAGCAGCAGGCAGTGGCAGAGTCATCATTACAGAGGAACGAGGAAGCCCAAATCACAGCAGGTACACCTGACAGGACAGGTCACCCATATTAATGTCTGTTTACATATATAAGTGCGGCACTGTGAGTTGGCCTACTGCCTTTCTTAGACGTCTGCACAGAACTTTCAATCATAAGCCAGCCATCTTCTGCGAGTGTCATGGTAACTGAGGTATTTTTGTACAGGGGCACAGTATTAGGACACAGGGACTAGTCATGTGACCAGACCTTCCACGCAGCAGCCCTCGTATAGAAGAATTTCAGCAAGCTCATCGGCCTACCAAAGCTCCCGGGATTTTTGGCAGAGCAAGAGGTATTTTTCTGCTTTAATTGTATATTCTACAGACCAAAACAAAAGGCAACAAGTTCATTGTCGGGGGAGGACAGACACTTATGTGAGGCGGTTGGGGGAGGGGAGAGGCTGAGCATCAGATTGCAATATGTGGCAGGTTGGAAGGACGGCTCATGCAAAGGTGCCCAAAAATACATTGCAAGGCTGATTCTCACCTGAGATCATATTAAAAGGCTTTACAAGTGTTCTTATTTCAGTGCTCAATTCTGATTGGCCACTGTGCGATAATAACCAGATTGCGACTCTGTGTGGAACGTAGCAAAGGATGCAAGAGCGAAAACAAAGAGGCGACGCCGGTATTATCCAACATTCCAAAAACTTTATTAATCTGGGTTAGTAGTCATATCTTACAAAGCCGGATGGTTTTCCCGGGAGGCAGAAAATGCGCCCAGGAAAACATTCAGTAACACCCGGGTCTAATTACTGCGATACAAATGGCTGATGAAGGCACTTCAGAACGTACGGGTCATCTATATATAATGTACTCAGATGGCTGACACCAACACTATTGTATCCCCATCACGCCCCAATACCAAGAGAGTTTATCACAGCAATAGATTCCATCCGGTGTGTTCTGAAACAAAGGGGGAAGTGAAAAGGATTGACATGACGGATGGAAAAAAACAAAAAGTTACAAAATTTGAAGAAAGAGAAGTTTATGAAATAACACGATATTAGTGTACAAAAAAAAAATACAATAGAATAGAAAGACATCCTCGTATAGGCGACAATGCAAGTCCCGAGGCAAAAAATAAAGACGTAGAAGGAAAGGGAAATGTAAAAGGATCGAGGATGGTAATATATGAAGCCGCAGGATGGAGATAGGAGGCTAATGGCTACAACTGAACACCAACAACATCTCCTGCTGTGGTGGGGGGAATGATCCCAATCACATCTTTGTGCCACCCTGAACATTAACAATACACAGTGGAAGAACTTGAAGAAGGATCCTGTGGGCGGTATGTGGAGATCGGGAGGGAAATACAGAGAATAGCAGCATTACAACAAGATGAACATCTACAATGTATGGCCAAACGTTTGTGGACACCCGAGCAGCACACCTATGTGAGGTTCTTGGACAATCCCATTTGAAAACTATGGACATCTATACAGAGTGCTTCCCCCCTTCCATGACCATTATATGGAGACCCCTCCCCATTTATATGGAGAGCCCCCACCCCATGGCCATTTGTATAGAGACCCCCCCCCCCCCACACGGCCATTTGATACGAAGACTCCCCCCG